TCTCTCTCTCTCTCTCTCTCTCTCTCTCTCTCTCTTTCTCTCTCTTTCTTTTTCTTTTCCTTTTTCTCTCTTTCTCTTTCACTCCCCGCGTGCCTCGCGCGTCCTCGGTCAGTCGATTAATGGAATCTCGCTCGATTAATGAAAAGTTCGTTGCGACACGCGCAAAGAGAACGCAACAATAATTCCCGTTCGATAATTGCGTCTCATTATTGCGTCTTACGCCCGGTGGTTACGTAATATTCGTTTCTCTCGGCTCGTGCTCGCCGGTGTTGACGAGATGCCGCCGACGCGACGCGAAGCAGACGACCGGTCTCGATGGTCGGATTTGGATTTAGATTTGGTAATTTGTAGACGGAAATGGATGGACGAAGTTGGGCTAGTCCGTGTCTAAATTAACCCCGTGCCAGATGGCAGAGAGATAGAGTTCAGACGCCGCGCGCCGCCGCCGCCGCCGCCGGGGACGCCCGGGCGACGTAAGAAACGACGTCGTATTATCGATGACCTCGCACGGCCTTCCACCTGCGGATGCTGGAATTTCGTCCTCCGCTGCATCGTGGAGTCGTAGCCGTTAAAAACGACCGCTAGTAGACTGCACTAGTACCACACTTTGTATAGACGACACGAGCGATACGAACGACGTTCTTTATAAACGAATCCCGACATTCCAGATAGATTCTTGTCGTGATTAAAGAGCTGCGCATATCAGCTGCATATCAGCGAACACCGCAAACGTATATCGGAAGACCGACGTCTCCTCTCAGCATCGACGATCCTCCTCGGCCCATGCTCCCCCGTATACAAAAAAAAAAACAAAAAAAAAACAAAAAAACAATATGTACATATCGAGCAAAGGCTGTACACGCGACGCAAACAAAAAACAAAGAAAAGAGAAAGAAAGACAAAAAAACTCAGCGGTCTCTCGTTACGCTTGTGTTGCAGACTGAGGATGTCCTCAAAGAGGAAGTCGCCACCAACGAAGCTATCGGAGGGCGGGGGCGGTGCGGGTACAGTGGCAGGCGCCAACGAGGAGGAGGAGGATACGACCTCGCCGGTAGCCGGTTCCGGTGGCGAGGTAACCGTGGGTGAGGAGGGTGCCGCCACCCCCGTCGACATCGAGGAGTGCTACTCCCATCAGAGAGGCGGCGAGTGCGAGTCGTCCGGCTGTTCGTCGCCGGCGACGACCAGCGAGCCGGATCTGCGTGACTCGCCGTCGCCCTCGTTGAATTCCCTGCGGACGGCCAAGCGACAGAGGCTGCTGTTCTTGTCGAACCAGGAGAGCCTCGCGCCTTACCATCACCCCCATCACCACCATCATCGCCACCACCACCACCACCATCATCACACGAACACGTCTTCGTCGTCGGGCGGTGTACTGGAACCAGCGAGCTCCTCGGAGTGCGGCTCGCCCCCTACCCTCCTCTCCGTCGACCCCTACTACCCCCATCACCCGCATCACAACAACAACAACAACACCGTCACGCAAAACAACAACAACAACAATAACGGCAGCGGCACCGCCGCCGCCGGCAGCAAGAGGTCTATGGACGACGTGCTGAAAAGGCTAACGTGCAAAATGAACAGTGAATCGCTGTCCATCCAGGATGACACCACCAATACCAGGCGGACGTCGCCGCCGCTCTCCTCCACGCCGACTGGCCACAATGCGCATAGGTTAGTCCAGGTGATATCAAATGCTGGGGTAGAATTACGGCAGGCGGACCACTATTACTGACCATCGGCTTTCCGACCAAAGCAACGTAGCTTTCTTTTTCTTCGTTCGATATACGCGCGAAATACGATACACTCGAAATATTCTCGCTCACGCGCAAAAAAATTCACAGAGAAGGAAATACTCAAAAGTATATTTGTGGTATATAGAGTTTGTTCACAGAAATAAACTTCATATGCCACAAATATAGATTTTATTCCGAACATTTTTTCTCAAATATTATTTCAATTATTTTTTCGCAGTACTTCACTGGATGAATCAATTCTTGATGAAATATGGATGATTCATAAATTTTAGTTGAAATCACTAGAATTCTATTTAAGTTAAATAGAATCTTGATAACTTACACCGAATTCTGATAACCGCGCAATTTCGGAATCGTTCGTCTTTCATCAGAAATTGGTTCATTCAATAAATTTTTTTCCTCCGTACGGTTACGTTCTTCTTTCATTGAAGAAAAAGTTTTGATTATGTTGTGAAATTTGATTGCAATGAACGATTCAACGCATTTTTGTGGGAGGAAACAGAATTAACAACGCGTTGGTTCGTTCATTAAAACCAATCTTCACATTAATACAATCGAAATTTTTTCTCCGGGTGCACTGAGGAAAAAAATATTTAAAAATTATTTGTGGGAGATAAAATTTGAAGTAAACTTTGCTTCGCAATAATAAATTTTATTTCACAAAAATAAACTTTATGTCACACAAATAAATTTTCAGGTATTTTTCTCAGCATGTACTGAGAAAACATACTTGAAAATTTATTTATGAGATATAAGGTTTATTCACAGAGAGATAAACTGCTTTGCAAAAATAAACCTCATATCCCACAAATAAATTTACAAATATTTACAAATATTTACAAATAAATTTTTAAATATTTCTCTCCGTGTACCAAAGTCGCGCTTTTGTCTTTGGACAAAAGCGCGACTTTTGTCTTGTGATTCACAAATTTTTTACTTGACGTGCTTTTATCACGTCCGGTCTTTTAATTGCCAGTTTAGGGTTCTCCGCCGTATAACGTCAGTCTAGTCGCTGTTAACGCGCTCAGGAGATATTCGCTGAAAGATAGGAAATGAGAACAGCGCGTCTTTGAGAAGCTCTTCTAACTTCACTGAGCCGTCTGAGCTCGTCCATGACAATTAGTTTAATCAGTGCGGCGTATGCAGATAAGCGTTTCTTATGCAACTTATGTGTGTCAAGTTAATTATTCGATACAATTTCCGATGGACATTGTAACAGTGCACTATACTGTTGCAATATCTGCCTCATAATGCGCCACCATGTCGCCGAGGTTATCGTATCGCTCCCGCTCTTTACATAACGGATTAATATATTATAATAGCAAATCAGAGGCGGATGTGGCTTCATATTCCTCAATGTTATAAGCGGCGGTGATTTTTGCTCGTACAATTTAATTACTGGTAACTATATAATCGGAATTTGTCCCCGGTTTTATAACGTGAAGCTAATACAGGATTCACACCGCGTCCGATGTCTGACGTACGACGTCGGATATCCAATAAGAGAACGGCTTTCTAATAAAGAATTCAATTTTCCATCGAAAAGATGTTCTCCTGTTGGATATCGGACGTCGAACGTGGTGTGAATCCTTCATAAGTGCCGCAAATCGTTCTTTGTCGACTAAGCAAATAGAGACGTGTTACGATTAGCGATCAAAGTCACGGTAAAATTTACCACATGAGCTTAACAGCTTTTCCCTTGAGTGATTTTAGTAGCAACATTTCGAAGCATGGCAAAATGCCACTTGATGCATCTTCAATCGGACAAATTCAAGGAAAAATTTCTTCTCGTCAAAAAGTCTTGGAATACGACACGTCTGTAACCATCTCATCCAACTTTCCAGAAAATTTCTTCTGAAAGTTCCCCTGAAAAGAAATCCTAGTCTCTGAAATTACCGACATTTGTCGTACACAGCTTGCGATGTATTATTTCACGTTTTTCATCGTCCGACGTTATCACCGGATACTAAGGCGACGGCTATAATTTTGTTTTCTGAAAGAAGAGACCACTGTGTGGTTTTTGCTTCAGCACTCCCAAGGCTATGCCCTGGTATCTCGGATACGGTAACATGGTAACTGACGACCGGGCGGGGCCTAAAAGGGACTATTGTTTCGAGACGCTAAGAGGTCAGCCTAGTCTTTCGAAACTAATCTCTATTGCCGTACATTCAGTTGACAATGACCAATGACACATGGACAAAAAGTACTGTAACGCCTACACTCGAGTACCCTCGAATAAACATCATCGAGCACAGATATGGATAAAAAACTTGTACGATGCTTTAAAATGCGTCAAAATTGCATGGTCTACATCCATGCATGTAGAAATTGAACCTCATCGATGTTTAGTTACAACATAATAAATTCATGTCTAACGTTACTACTAGCCTATAATGTAACGCTCGCTTCTCCCAGCGGCTAGCTAAACCATTGTTTAGCTGACGACTAAACAAACGAAATAATATACGGTAAAAAATACATTTTATATTTGTGTTAAAATCAATCCGTGTGGAACGTATCTGTGTGTTAATTTAACATATTGTCGTTGTGTTATTTTATTTTATTTTCACCATTTGTTAAGATAACACAATAGTGTTCAATTGTGACATTTTTGTATTAATTTTCGATATATTGTTTGTATTATTTGTTTACATATTTGCCTTGTGCTGAATTAACACCAAAATTGGAATGAGTAAAATGTGAAATGTGTTAAATTTAACACAAAATTTTTTGCAATGCAATTATGAGATGGAAAACCTTATGATTTCTATACTATACTTTATAGCATAGAAGGAGGAGGACTAGAAGTTTACTAGGTGGCGGCGGGACGAATTGCATTCGGGACCTGCATATCTTTTCGTTCCAGAGAGAGAAAAATATTGAAAGCGCGGTTTGCTAGGCCGGGAATAGTTACTAGCCAATAATGTAACGCTCAATTCGATTTTTTTTTTTAGATTTTTATAAAGTTACATAATCTCAACTTTTATTTACTAATTTTTCTTTCAAAATATTAGTGGTGACATAGTAGCTAAATTATGTGTTTTAAAACAAACAGCGCCATCTATTCTATCATATTTGATACACTGATATTGCTAGACAACAAACCCGATATTATATATTTTTTAATGCATAATGAATCAATAATAAATTGATAACAAGCTAGAAAATCTCTAACAAACTAAAATTTAATCTGTACTAGCCACTAGCTTTTGATTCAGACTGGCTGGTTATAGTTCTGCTCAGGGAGTCGGATACTTTCCTTGGTAGAAGAATTCTAGTGCGCATACTTTGTGAAGGATTATTTATCGCTGCGCTAATTAAATGCTTGAATCATTTATTAATAAATAAATAATCATCTCTAAATAATCAGGACTGTCAATGAATTGATTCATCGGGAAGTACGTTGTGTAGGAGTTTTTTCGTGACTTCTTCAATCGATCACTCGCTTTACATGCAAATTACGAGGATACAAAATACAAATTGTTCACACGTGGCTAATTGCGAGCCTTATATATATATGTGTGTGTGTGTGTGTGTGTGTGTGTGTGTGTGTGTGTGTGTGTGTGTGTGTGTGTGTGTGTGTGTGTGTGTCATAAACGATAGTACAATAATACTGCCGATGTTATAATAAAATCACATACTCTCTCCTACACACCACTACATTGCATTACATCCGACACGACGTTTTTAATTGTGCATATAGATCGAGGCGAGGAACAACTGATTTAATCGTACGTTTATACGTAAATCATTCGCGAGACAGTGGCAATAATATTGCTCCCTCTTTTTTGCGCGCATTTTTTTCTTCCCTGCAATTACGCGTGGCATTGTCGTCATCCGTGTGAAAACGTTGGCCGGTCAATCGTGCGAAAAACGAACGCGCGTGACAATGGAATAAGTCCTCGCAAAAAGCGCCTTCCTTCGGGCTAGATAATATGGAGCGCGGCCTCACGTTGTAGTGAAGTCATTGAAAGCAAACGAGTGAACTTGGCAACGTGCAGAGAAGCGGTAGCAGAGAACTGTGCCAGTTTGCTGCCCACACCGTGCAGAACGGCGGGCCAAAATTCTTTAAAAATTCAGCCAACAGTACAACTTGCACTTACGTTGACGTTCACCCTCTTTTTGGAGCCCGTTCAATTCGACTTCATGTGTGTATCGAAATAACGTTCGATTTAAAAATACACACCCGATGCTGTCGCGCGGCATTGTTGTCGCATACATAATTATATTTCACGTCCGAGGATATGTGTGTTCGATGCATTTCCGGGATAATTCTCATAATCTATTTCCGTCGGCGAGCTGAGGATAAGTTATTAGCGGCTTAATAGTTTCCTACTTGATCTCACGCGAAGATAAAATGCCGATGGTCAAAGGCTAAGTGTCTCGGCACGATTGCACGTCGGATTTGTACAAATTTGCGCGCGCGTACTCAACAGGACGTACAAATGACTGCGACAACATTGTTATATAAAGCGTCTCGCCTATCATATACGTACCACTGACGTATCACGCGCGAATATCGTATTATGAGCACGCACGAGCATTTGGAGATACGAGTGACTAGCGAGTGTAGAGTCATAGGGTGGACGAAAATATCGGGCATGTACATTAGCTCTCGGCTGTTCTAAGTATAGCCGGTATTGGATAAAAACCTGTGGAACTAAGCGTCGCATTATGGACCGATGATAACTCCGATATGTGTGAGAGCTGCTCATACTTTTCATTGTTGGGAGGATTAACGATTTCGAAGCGGAATTTCTGTCGACAGACCGTCCGCTGATGTAACCGCCCCCTGGTAGAAACGCATGCAGCTTGCGTAGACGTTCGTTCAGTCACTGTCTAATATTAATGCAATCTCATTAATTATAAAAACATTGCGTAGGAACTGGACAAGAACTTGAAGGAATTTTATCCGCTAGCGAAGCAGTTTACTGTACAATATATGGACCGAATCTTTTCGAGACCTAATATCAGTGAGATTAATTCAGTTTTATAATGAGCACGTGTTGTAATGTCTATCGTGAATAAGATGGAAGCAATTTGTTTATATTGTTAAAGCAGAGCTCAAAATTGCGCGAACGATGAGTAAACGCATGCAAAAGCGTTGAGAAAAAAAGAGAAACTCGGAGGAAATAGAATATTTGACAATATTAAGACATTTGATGATGTTAAGCTCTGTGACAGAGATGACAACCGAGGTTAGAAATAAAAGTGGACAAAAGATAAGTGGGATGTAACAGGATTTCATTGGTATGAGAAGACATCAGACTATTCTGGCGGTTACGATACGGTTACGAAATGAAAACTGTCATGACAGCTCAGTTCAGACTGTCTGATGAAATAGCACAACTACGAGAACGGATAAAAGGACATGTGTCGTTTGAAAGATGTTGTGAAACATGTTGTGTAAGAAACGATAAACATGGCAATATATATCAAGGTAAATGTCCCAATGAACTGAACTAAATAAGAAAGCACAATCAGTTTTACATTTTTATGAATAAATACTTAATAGAATTATTAATACAAAAACGTTTACATAAAACTTTGTCTTGTCAGCGATCGAAAAACAGAAGGAAATAAAGCAATCAATAAATATCAAATAATATCATAATTTTAATGAGATAATGCCGATTGTGCCAGTAATTGGATTGAAAAATTAATCAATTACTAGGGCATTTATCTCATGTACCAAGAATTTCCTGCGCTCTAATTCTCATTAGCATTAAGATCTTTTGAAAAGCATGCACGAGAAACGAAATACTACTAGAGAGCAGACCTGCTTATTAATTGGATAGTTTTTTATCTCCATTCTCCATTTTGTTCTCGTCCAGTAAATAGATCTAGCTTTTGCCTAGTAACTACAGAAAAAGCATTGGGCATCTTGATTGGGATCGCGAGTAGTTTTGCTGTTCAATTACTAGAAAAAAGTTTACATAAGCGTTCAGTAACTGTTCGAAGGTGCATGAAATTTCTACCAAGGGCTCTTAGAGGCTAAGTTACATTATCGTGGGATCGATATTCCGCAAGTTAGGATTTAGAGAGACGGTAATGATGTATAATTCTTAACCACGCTCCACGTATCGCTGTAAATCGTACATGATCTCGCATGCGAATTTTCGACACTGCTAGATGCAAACACAGCTCTCTATTCTTATTGACTTTATCCGTAATTCATGCGCCGTGTCGATTTATCATACATTCCTGCGCCCGTTAACCTGCGTGCAAGAAGAGTGACACAAAAGAGACGAGAAAGGCGACCATTTATCTTGGCGCGCGCATGAAATTGAGCCCTTCGAGTGTCTTAGCGCGCGACAATAATAACGGAGGGGAGTTCTTGCGATTTTTTTTCTTCTCAGAGCGGGAGTGTGAACGAGATCCGTCGCCGAGTCATAACGCGCGGACAATTCAATCCTTTCGCGAAACCGGATGCGCTCGTTCGACTCCAAACGTGAGGCAGGCTCATCTCGAATAAATCGGAATGAATGTTCTATTTTATACTACTGTGTCCAAAAGTAAGACCAATTAAATATTTTTTTTTAATCTTTATTTATTATTCCAAATCTATTTCGTCGCTTTCAAAGTAATCCCTTTCAGACACAATACACTTATGCCAACGTTTTTTCCAACTTTCGAAACAGTTGTTAAAGTCGATTTCCGGAATGGCCTAAAGCTTTCTTCGATTCAGCTTGTATCTCTTCAATCGAGTCAAAACGGTGTCCCCGGAGCGGTCTTTTGAGTTTAGGGAATAGCCAGAAGTCACACGGTGCTAAATCAGGTGAATATGGTGGTTGTGGAACGATATGGGTCGAATTTTTAGCGAAATGGTCTCGAAGAACCAATGCAGTGTGAGATGGCGCATTATCGTGGTACAAAAACCAAGAGTTGTCTTTCCACAATTCCGGCCTCTTTTTGCGAATAGCTTCACGCAAACGACGCATAATTTGACACAGATGTCTGTCACAGTGCTACCAATTTAGAAAAAAAATATTTCTGACATTTGATATACCGCGCAATTTAACTTGAAAATTGGTCTTACTTTTTGAACACAGTAGTATATCGATTTTTTCGCCGTGGGACGGGATTAGTGTTCCCCCGATGAGCGCAGCTTACAAAAAAAGCTCATGATACATTTACGCGAAATTCGATATAATATTACAGCACTGACACGAGAAAACGCTTCCAGCTTCGTCAAAACGGCTCCGACACTCGTTGGATGATCTGAAAACGCTCGGCGAGCGGGATTTGGAAAAGCGAATTCTTCGCGTATTAGAACTTAAACGCTCCTCGCTTCGTGTCACTCGCGCGCACCGTAATGTGACTTTAATCGTCGACCCCGTAACGCCCCAAGGAACGAACCATGACCGAAGCCCGCTGGACAAGGTGGCCTATATTCCCGCGTGTGCGCGCGTGAGCCTCCTCCTTCTCTTTCTTCTCCTTCTCCTCCTCGTCGTCGACTGGTCGTTCGCTCTCATCATTCTCGCTCGCGCAGACTTGGCCCAAGCGGCCTCCTAAGCGCGGCACAATAGGCCTGTATCACTTATTCGCGGTCCATTTTCTCCGACATAAAGGCGCACGAGCTCCAGGCTGGTTCCGAGCTGGTGCTCGAGGGCCGGAATCCGGCTGGGGACACGGAAGGGGGAATGATAGCGTGGGGCACCCCATCACGGACGCAAACACTCGCTCCGTCGTGATTGCGCGGTCGCGACCCATCTATTATTCACCTGGCTTCCAGCATCACGTACGCGACTACTACCATCCGGTTCTATCCTGATACACTGGAGGCCCTTTTTCCCTTTTTCTCACTTTGCGTCCCAGTACATCTCTGCATTGTGTATGCGTGTGTTGTGTGTATGTGTGTGTGTGTGTGTGTGTGTGTATGTGTGTGTGTGTGTTGGAGTAAGTGAGACTGACTTCTTTCCTTCTAATTTAAGAAAAAGTCTAAACAGTCACGCTGAATTATTGATAACTCATCATCAGTCATCGGGGAAAATTTCACATAAATATCATTTATTATATTATTAGAATGATTATACCTTGTCTTTCTTGCATGGAGAAAAAGTTTGATTGAATTAACTTGGCCGTGAACGAAAACATGTTTTAACTGGAAGAAGCAGAATTTCTGATTCTTAGAGCCGAATTTGATTTATAAGAACCAGAAGTTTCGTTTCTTTCTATAAAAACACGTTTAGTTCGTTATCAGGTCTAAAAAGCACACGGAGAAAAAATTTTAATCCGACAATTAACGAACGAAACGCGTCTTAGCTGAAGCAATTTTTGGTTCTTAGAACCGAATTTGACTTTAAACGCGCTTGGTTAGGTTAGGTTATTACCAGATTAATTCGAGCAAACTTATTTCTCCGTGTACTTGAGCTCACTTTCTATACTGAGGGAAAAATTACCTTAAAATCAACGAATATTTCTTTGATAGGTGTCATTAACATATTTACTTAAATCTAAATTCTCTTTATTTAAATCAAATATTGCTTATCTGATTTAAGTAAACAATTTTATTTAAATAAAGAGAATTTAGATTTAAATAAATATGTTAATGGCACCCTTCAAAGAAATGTTTGTTGATTTTAAGGTAATTTTTCTCTCAGTGTACAATTGCTGCTCACGAAGCGATTGAAAGGATTCACTCTCAGGTCGTGATAAATCTCTCTCTCTCTCTCTCTCTTTCTCTCTCTCCCTCCCTCACTCATTCTCTTTCTCTCTGTCTCGCTCTCTCTCTCTCTTTCCCCCTTCTCTCACTCATTCTCTTTCTCTCTGTCTCGCTCTCGCTCTCGTTTTACTCCTTCTCCTTCTTTGTTTTTAACCGAGCAAAATTGACCGTGATTTAATTGTGTATGTTACAGCGGAGGCACGACCACTATAGCAAATAACGTGGCACTCTCGCCCCCGGGTGCCGGAAGGATACCAAACACGGAGGCGCAGGTACAGCAGGACGGCGTGGCGGCCCTTCACAGGGTTCTCTGCGCCGAGAGCTTCGCCGAGAAGGAGCGTCGACTGTCGGAGATGATCCTGCAACTGCAGCTGATCAGGGAGCAACTGCTGCAACAGCAGGATCAGTCGAAGGTGAGTGATTCGCCGCACCTTATAGGCCGCGTCCATATAGGAAGCGTATAATAGAATTATGCTCGCGTTAAATTATCATAGGGCCGTGTGCATACCGGGTGTTCCAAGACTGCTTTCCACGTATGGATGCTTTAATAAGAGCGACGTCAATACTTCTTTCATAAAAATGTGAAAGGATCGGTAGAGTCGCGCGGCCAAAAGCCCAAATATAATCGGGAGCTTCGTGATAGCACGGATAAATAATAAAATTGCCAAGCGAGACACGAAAAGACGATCCTGGAACGCTTGACGCACCAAGTATGCCGACTCGTTGCGGAATGCGTCGAGTGGAAGCAGGGGATTCGAACGATAGAACTCGTTGTTGCTACGTATATCATAGTAGATAATGATACAACTCCAGCGTGCTCTGTGGACAGGTGCATGATCAACGCAACTCGCTCAATCACGTCATGCCATGCGGGATATCGTTTACGATTAATAAGAGAAGCAGAATGCGTGCCGCGCGCGGCCGTACCGGTGACGAAATCGGCCACGACGGATTGAAAGCCTGTGTGGTTCACTATAAATCGCTAACTGGCGTGCACCGATTGACGAGGGAAAGTGCATCAATTATCATGGAATTATAATTGCGCGATTAAGTCGCGGTGGTGCGGATATCACGGGGCGGAAAAGTAAGGAACGCGAGTCCCCTCGGCGCGATCATTCTGATATGCCGTTACGTTATACCAGTTTGATACATTTCCGTTGAAAAAGAAGGATGAATCGTGATGAAGCGCAAAGTATGCCGGCGTCTCTCTCCAAGAGAGGATCGCAGTCTCGATAATTTTATGACGCTCATTATTGTGTGCCATCGCGAGCGACTGAAAAAAGAAAATACTACGCGCGTTCCTTTTCGCGCATTCGAAATGCAAAGCCGTGTTTTCTCTTCCGCTTAAGGCTCAACTACAAGACGCGGCGCGTAAGCTTGGCGTAAGTTGACGTACTCTCTTAAAGTGAATCAGTGAATAGTCACTGATATCAGTTATGACTGAGCAGTGCTATACTCATAATTTTCAGTGCTATACTTATAACTGCAATCAATGTATATTCACTGTTTTCAGTGATGTTTGACTAATTCGTTTGAAGATAGTAAGAAACGAAAAGAATTCCTTTCGCTTACGCCTATAGAGAGGACCGGGTCTAGATGGCCCCAGGGCTGTGTTGTTCATGTGTTTTTTTAGTATTTGTCTTGAGAGGAACACTGCACTAAGGGAAAAATGTATGATACTTGGAACTATAATAGCATAGTAAAAAGATTATAGTTAGGAATATTATTTTTATAGTAAATTTTAGCATAATCTTTGTAATATTTACAATATAAGCATAGTATAACTGACCCATGTAAAACTTTTACCAAGAATTATGATCATTTGAAATAAGAAATATAGTAAGGTTGCAAATATTGAATGGTAAGAGAAATTAATTATTTTATATAGTCAATACAATTGGAATATTTAGGAAATATAGGTACACTGAGAAAAAAATTTATTAAATTTCAAAAAACGTTTGTTTGGATAGTACTGTAAAGATATTTGTTTAAATTAAGTAATTATTTTCTAAAATTAAATAAAAAAGTTTTAAATATAAATTTGTTTCTTTAATTTTAGAAAATAATTACTTAATTTGAACAAATATCTTCACAGTACTATGCAAACAAACGTTTTTTGAAATTTAGTAAATTTTTTCTCAGTGTACATGTAACTATATTCCCAAAGCGTGCTTTACTATATACATAAAGTAATAAAATGGTGACTATAAATCTGTTTTAATTCTGGTGACTATAAATCTGTTTCTATATCTTTATGTTTAGATGAACTATAAATATATGTTTGAGGCCAAAACGAACTATAAAATATAGTGAGATTATAGTTATTCCAACTATTTTTTTCTCTCACTGTGGGGATACAGAAAATGCTGGGCGACTGAATTCACCATCAGGGCAAGATAGCCATGGTTGCTGCATGTTTGTATTTTGGCTATGATAAAACAAAATGTGCAGTTAATAGGACCGTGGTGAGCATTAACACATAGAAGAAGACTGCCTCTATCATGTTTGTACAGTCAGTCGGAAGAATTACTTGAATTAGCTAAGAAGTTGTAACTTTGAAATTCTGGAATATAAGAGATATTTAGCCTCGGTCTCTTTTCGGTCTTTCAACTTTCTCATATCGAAAATATTTCTCTTAAGTAAAAAAAATTTCCAGTATAAGAAAGTCAGAAAGTAAGCAAAATAAATTATTTTCATTTCTAAAGAACCGTGTCTGTAATGTGAGTAAAATATAGCTATAAGAAGTAAGAATAAGAAATTAACAAATCACGATCGATTATTCTTCTCGCTATTCGACTGCAATTGGTTAATTTCTTACTCTTATTTCTTACAGCTATACTTTACTCTTATTGCATTAAATGATCTTTTACGCTTCGCCTACAATATGCGGAGTAAGCTTGAAGTAAGAAGTAAGAGTAGGAGTGAAAAATAAAAACGCCTATATTCCAGCTTCTTTACGCCGAAAGTCTTTCTATCGTATAAATACTTCCGGTGTAAGAGAACTAGAGTTTAGGCGTATATATAATAAGTGAAATAAATTAGTTTTATCTCTTACTCCTACTTTTACTTTTCATATGCTAAGCTTACTTCGCTTACGTACTGTAGACGATGCTTTACTTCATCTTACGCCAAGCTTACTCCGCGTATTGTGGACAAGCCTTGAGAAGTATCCTCGCGATGCTCCTGACAATAATGTCAAGACCTCCCCCCTCCCTCCCTCTCTCTCTCTCTCTCTCTCTCTCTCTCTCTCTCTCTCTCTCTCTTCCTCTATCCGCGATATTACCGTACTAATAGCGGCGAGTCCGTTGCACCTCGGCGAGTAACAGTACACCTTTGATGCGCCCGCATCACGCCAGAACACGATTCGCGAACACGCGCACCAACGTTGGGCACAATGAGATCTCATTGAAATCACTTCGGCTTGTATCGGTTTGATAACCGCGTCGAGATTAGTATCGCCTTCCGTCTCACGACGATGACTCGATACTTCGAGGCGGCCTGAAAAAGCGCGGGTCATCGCGTGGCTGCGGCGAAACACAACGCCACAACCACGCCGCCACCGCCACTACCACCACCGCCGCCGCCGCCGCCGCCACCACCGCCGCCGCCGCCGCCGCCGCCGCCGCCGCCGCCGTAGTCGTAGCCGTAGCTTGAAGGAATCGCGGGAGACCGGAGGAACCTGTCTGCCCGCAAAAATGCGAGCGCGTGCAGATAATGCCCGACGTGTATTACCGTTATTATGCCAGTCATTTACGTGCTGTGGAAACGATGTTTCTTCTCCGATGTCCCGCTAAATTCACCCGCCGGCGAAATTCTACGAATGCATTCGAGTAAATATCCATGGTGTACGCGCGGCAGGTAAAGAGGTCTGCATATCTGGACATTAATATACAAAATTCGGGGAGCGGTTCGTGGCGCAAACAACGACCTGAGGATATTATTCTCGTGATACCGCAGCCGCTCTACCAGGAGGAACACGCCGACACGTTCGTAGCAATGCGATCAGAGCAATCGGACATTTCGTTTTTATTAGAAAAAACTGGCCCTTAAAATCCCTTGAAATAAACGCGATGAGGAGTACACTTGACGTTTCGTTTCGACTCTGTTGAGGATCTGCGCACAGAAATATGCCGTTCCATTGTTAAGAAAAGCGATTGCTCAGTTTGCTTCCCCAATTTTAGGTAACAGTTTCCTTCAACACAGAGAATATTTTCTTGATAATAGTCTTAAAATATGCTCACTACAAATTTGGGAAAATAAATTATTATCATGTATTCAAAAAAGAAGAATGTATTTTTCTTGCAAGGATATAATTATAAAATTTTTATATATTATAAAATATTTTAATATTATAAAATTTTATCGAGGAAAAAGTTGATTTGACTCTGTGTAGTAAGCTAACTAAATTTTTGTTTTAATTCAATATTTTTTATTGAAATGCTAAGCTTTACCAGGGGATTCCGAATGTATGTTTTAAATAAATTTGATGCTTATGATGAATTTATGAGATACTTTACTGAGAGGAAAAATACTTGAACTGACTAAAATTCTAGTCATTTTTTACCCAACTATATTTTTTAATCGTTCGAACACATGAAAATATGTTTTCATGTGTTCAAACATATGATAATAGTAACATGTAATAGTATGCAAGTTTATTATCACCAATATTATAATAGAATTTAATTTAAAAAAAACGGTTTTCTTAATCTTAATTCATAATAATTACTTTTCTGTATGATTATAGTTACAAATATTTTTTCTCAGTGTAGAACCAAGTGACATTTACTTGAACGCAGAATTCTTCCGTGTATTCCGTATATTCTTCCGTGTGTATGTAATGGGAAAACCGGTTGATTCAAGGGTCATGTCGGTCACGTGTTTCGTTTGTGTATTTATTTCTGTGAAAGACAGAGCGGAGGAGGAAGAAATGTTCCTTTCGGAATATGGGAAAAGTATTCGTGTTTCAGAAGAAACATTTTGCGATTTCACCTCCGCTGTTTCTCTCATAATAAACACATACGCGAAATGCGTGACCTACATGACCCGGTCTCCTTTAACACAAGGTATTCCGCTAAGAAAGAGGGGGAGAGAGAGAGAGAGAGAGCGCGCTGGCCGATATCGTTAAATGATTAAATTTGCGAGTGCAGAACAGAAAGCGCGAGAGAATGAGGGAGGAGGAGGGAGTGGAGAAGTCGGCGGAAGCGAGAGTCGTTACTATCATCCGCAATTGCACCAATAATTGAAACTCGCAGTCGGAGGGCCGCGTAACTACCGGCAATAACGCTTGAAACGTGGAGAGATAAGGAAAGTGTTTACCTGCGGCGACGAGTAAATCGGCGCAACATATAACGAATCTGCATCCCGAGTTCGCATCTAATACCACCGTTTCGGTCGTCGTACGACAATTTAA